TGTGTGCCCCCCTCCTGCTTAGTCTTTTCTTTTCTCCAGACTAAGCAAACCCAGTTTTTTTCAATCTAGCCTTGTAGGTCACATGTTCTAGACCTTTTTAATCATTTCTCCAACTTGTCCACATCTTTCTCAAAGTGTGGTGCTCAGAACTGGTCACCGTACTCCAGTTAAGGCCTTTTCATATCTTACTTAAAAACAGTCCTGCTACTACATCCCAGAATGATGTTAACCTTTTTTGCAACAGTATTATATTGTTGACTTATATTGAGTTTGTGATCCACTATAATCCTTAGATCCTTTTCTGCAGTACTCCTTCCTAGGCAGCCATTTGCATTTTGTATTTGTGCAATTGATTATTCCTTCTCAAGTGCCCATTTGTCCATATTGAATTTCATCCTGTTTATTTCAGACCATTTCTCCAGTTTGTCAAGATCATTTTGAATTGTAAGCCTGTCTTTGAAAGCACTTACAACCCCACCCAGCCTGGTATACTCTGGAAACTTTATACGTGTACTCTTTATGCCACTATCCAAAACATTTCTGAAGATATTGAATAAAATTGGACCCAGGACAGATCCCTGCGGGACCCCACTTGATATGGCCTTCCAGCGTGACTGTGAACCATTGATAATTATTCTCTGAGTATTGTTTTCTAACCATTTGTGCACCCACCTTATAGTAGGCCTTCTCTTCTGTGTATTTATTAATGTGGCTCTTTTTTAATAGCCTGTTTTATAAGAAAAAAAATTTACCAAATGATTTTTACAGCACTAGCTTTTGCATGGAGAGTCTGTCCAGAAACACTGGCTAAAAGCATCCTCCAGCCCAAAAGAAATTAAATTATGCCTGCAAATGAGTCATAAACAAGTGTAAAATATGTGCCTGGAAAGCGATTTAGTAATAGAGGTTTGACATTAAAATTAGTTTGAGTAAATTAAACAGTTTGATGGTGACCTTTCCAGGTAGGGGTCCTCCAATCCAAATCACTGTGAATACTATGCTCCTTGAGAAAATCACTCAGAACTCCATATTAAGGTCAAATTCTGCCTAAGTAACAGCAATGTAATCCCATCCCATTTCATTTCAGTGGATTTACATAGGGTATGAATTAGCAGGGAATTTGAGCTAAATTTGTGTGTAGGAATGCAGAGGTTACACTTACGAGACCATTCTATGCCCATCCCCTCCAGATTTGTAAACATTTTCAGCATGGCTGAGAAATACTTAGGATCTGATTTTTAGCTCTGCCTCAACCAAGCGTTTGTTTTTGTTGATGCAATGTAGTGTCCATAAGTAATGGCTCCCACATTAAATTCTGGGTTCAAATACCAGCAGTATTGTCAACACCAAGCATTCAAAAATCAAGAATCAGGCCCCCAAACACTATGAGATTGGTTTAAGAATCATGGGATTATTTATTTTAAATTAGATGTTTAAAATAATGCATTTTATGTTCTTTTTATTTGTCTTCTGGTGTCTGAGCCCTTAGGGTCACAGTTGCTTCACATTTTCAAACTTTTCTCTGGAACCATGAGGCCAAGAAACCTGAGAATCTTATGTAATCCCTTGATTCCAGTATCTGGGGCCTTAAGAAAAACACCAAATACCATGAGACTTGTGATAAAATCGTGAGAGTCATAACACTCTAGCAGCTAGGCATCTAAGGCTGTGTCTACCCTACAATCTTTGGTTGACGCAAGTTACACTGACATAAAGCCACAGTTAGTATATCACTTGTGCATGTGCATACTTGGTTCCTTCCATTGTCACTGTGTATACTCACCAGGAGTGCTTGCGTCGATGCACAGTGTGGGGCACCATGGTAGCTATTTCAGTGTGCAAGCTGCCAGCACACTGTCTTTTGGGAAGTTTTGGCAATGCATGGTGGGGCAGAAACGAGACATGCAGGAGTGACTGGGAGCAACGGGTCAACTTCCCAGCATGCAATTGAACCCAACCAAAAATGTCATCTACAGGTCTGTCTCATCTTACGCCAGGGTTCCGTTCCGCGGTTAGCGCGTAAAGCGAAAACCACGTATAGCCAAAACCCCATTGAGTTCAATGGCGGGCGAAATCACCCGCACTACAGGTATAGTATTAAAATTGTTGTTTTTCTCTTTTTTGTTTTTGCCGACCGCGTAAAGTTAAAATCGCGCATGTTAAATGTGCGTAAGATGCGACAGACCTGTATATGCATAATTTTCATGCTTTTTTAAAAAATCCCAAGAACCCACATGACCCCCTCCCTTGCTGTCTGCCATCAATGACAGAAGCATCTGCCCTATTGTAAGAATAGAATACACAATCCTCCAGTATTTGCAGAGCTGTAGGAAGAATGGAATCATTGGGGAACTTGACGATTTCTTGGAGGACAGATCGCTGTGGGACATAGCGAGAACCAGTTCAAGGTTGTTGGTGGAGTTCATGGAGCAGCTACAGATGTTGGAGTGCAGCTTCTGGGACTGAAAAATGAGCACTGATTGGTTGGATCACATTGTAAAGCAGTAAGATATCTGATACAGTTCCATATGGGAAATTATTAGTTAAATGGGGATTAATGTGAGAATTGAAAGGTGGATAAGGAACTGGTTAAAGGGGAGACTACAATGGGTCATACTGAAGGGTGAATTGTCAGGCTGAGGGAGGTTACTAGTGAATTCCTCAGGGATTGGACTTGGGACCAGTCTTATTTAACATTTTCATTAATGACCTTGGCACAGAAAGTGAGTGTGTGCTAATAACATTTGTGGATGACACAAACTTGGGAGGTATTGCCAATATGGACTAGCCAAGATGATCTTGAAACCTGGAGTAACAGAAATGGAATTAAATGTAATGGTGCAAGGTACGAGTCATGCACTTAGGTACTTACAAGAGGAATTTTTGCTATAAACTGGAACTTATCAGTGACTGAAGCAGAGAAAGTTGGTCAAACACAGGATGACTATGAGGCACCAATATGATGCAACTATGAAAAAACCTAATGCAATCCAAGGATGCATGAGGTGAGATATTTCCAGTAGAGACCGGGAAGTGTTATTACTATTATACAAGGCACTGGTGAGACCTCATCTGGAATACTGTGTGCAATTCTGGTTTCCCATGGTTAAGAAAGATGAATTGAAAGTGGAACAGGTGCAGTGAAGGGCTAGTAGGATGATCAGAGGAATGGAAAACCTACCTTCTGAGAGGAGACTCAAAGAGCTTGGCTTGTTTAGCCTAACCAGAAGAAGGCTGAGGGGAGATACAATTGCGCTCTATAAATACATCAGAGGGCTAAACACCAGGAGGGAGAGAAGTTATTTAAGTTAAGGGTCAATATTGGCATTAGAACAAATGGATATAAACTGGCCACGAGCAAGTTTGGGCTGGAAATTAGACTAAGGTTTCTAACCATCAAAGGAGGGAAGTTCTGCAACAGCCTCCCAAGGGGAGCAGTGGGTTCAAAAAACCTAACTGGTTTCAAGACTGAACTTGATAAGTGTATGGAGGGGATAGTATGATGAGATTGCCTGCAATGGCATGTGGCCTATCTGCGACTGCTAGTAGCAAATATCTCCAACGGCCAGGGATGGGGCACAAGATAGGGAGGACTCTGAGTTACTAAAGAAGATTCCTTCCCAGGTGTCTGGCCACTGGGTCTCACCCACACACTCAGGGTCTAACTAATCATTGTATATAGGGTCAGGAAGGAATTTCCCCCCCCAGGTCAGATTGGAAGGGACCCTGGGTTTTTTTTGCCTGCCTCTGCAGCATGGAGCACAGGTCACTTGCTGGTATGAACTAGAATAATTGGTGGATTCTCTGTAACTCAAAGTCTTTAAATCATGATTTGAGGACTTCAGTAACTCAGCCAGAGGTTAGGGGTCCTTTACAGGAGTGGGTGGGTGAGGTTCTGTTGCCTGTGATGTGCAGGAGGCCAGATTATATGATCACAATGGTTCCTTCTGACCTTAAAGTTTGAGTCTATAAAACAATGTGCATTGGATGAGTGAGCTCAGAACAGACATGAATAAGAGATAATGTCAATATTGTTTAAGGGAAGGGGAATTCTAGCTGCCTTGTCCTGGTGTGGCTTTGGATCCTCATTCATGCTAACGATGATTGTGAGCTGTGTTCACGCATCATGCTAGCCACAGGCTGCTTCAGTGAGTAGGAAGCCCCGCCTCCGAATCTCTGCTTGGTTTCTTGCTGTAGTCTGTGCCATTGTCACACATCAAGAATGCTCCATTATTTGGAAAAACATGTAGCAGCAAGAATATATTTTTCTACTGTAGGATGATCTAGCAGAATATTTACCAGATTTTTAAGATGCAAGTAGACAGGAAGCTCCAGGTTATCTCAGAATCAGCACATTTATCTGAATCCTGATTTGACCTTTATAGATGTATAAAACCAGGTTTGCAGACCCTTTACTTCAGGGTTAGTTTGGATTTTGCTATCCATTCCTCTTTCGCAGAAGCAGTTTCCATGCTGCTCATTTAAAAATCCTTTGTTAGTTTAGCACCCCTTCCTTCCAATTCAGTTTAATATTTTTCGCAGCTTCCCTTGGAGTTTGGCTATCAGCAGAATTTGTTAGAGACAGCTCAAGAAAAGTCTCATGAGAACCTTAATTGGTCATCCCTATTTGAAGTAATAAACATGACATAGTGTATAATGAGCAGACTGCTAATAAATGTTTAAAGAATGAGAATACCAAACACTTGTATCAATGTGCTAGAAATCACAGTTTCTATTTAACAGCATAGTTGTAACTGCAGAGTGCCTGATGCCTTTTTGAGAATCTCCTGGCAACCTGAGTTCATATATTGAAAGCACTGCTGGATGGGCTTTGTGGTTTGTGAATATTGCAGGGCTAATCCCTATGGTTCTTTGATTATGAGCATGTGCAGAGCAGCCCAGCGTACGGTATGTGCATGTAGAGCTAACACAGAGACTTGCCTTGCAATGCCATGTTTCTGTATGTGTTCCAGCAATTGAAAAACAATTGGGGAGGCTGCCTGCTTTATTGACTAACTGATGTTTTCTTGTTTCTGTTTCAGCATTCAGGATCATTCCTTCAACAATACAGCTTTAGCAGAGTAAGTGAATAAATATTTACCTATACCATTAAATAAGAATCATATGTTAAGCGGGGCAGAGAATAATTTTAAATACTATTTCAAAAGTGAAAAAGCTTTCTGGGACATTTTATGATGCACAGTCTTCTGGGATTTTAATATTTTATTGAAAATATGCTGAATATGATATAAAACAACAATATTTACATATGGTTAACTAGCCATTAGCAATGGGCTGGCATTATGAAAGAATATCTTTGTTGCTGTTTTCTGCCATATATATTTTACATGTGTTTGAATATATGATTGTATGTATACTGTACATCTCATGAGAAAATATTGCTAATTCTTGTTACTGATCATGACAAGCAAAAGTGTGAGTTTTCTAAGAGCACATGGGCTATGCTTACTGTCAGCATTGGCAGAAAATATTCTTTAAGAATGTTTTGAGCAAAACACTGCATTATTTAGACAGGTTCGGGATCTGAATGCAGTTTCCCTTTGCAATTAATGCAGTAAACTTTTTACATGCTTCCCCCACCCCCAACCTTTGGTTTTAAAGAAATATGTTTTGCCTTTTTATCTTAGGAAGGTGGACAGACAGCAGAACAGCAGAAAACATTGTAAAGTTACAAACACTGAGATGCCATTAGCAATTTAAAAATTAAATATACTTCTGGTTTTCCTTAAAGGAACATGCTTTAATTTCAGATGTGACTATTCTGCATTATTCATTGACATTAGTACAGCTCTTTTTGGCTCTGAAAAATATGTATTGTGACCCTGTTTGTGTTTCATAGGTATTTTATCCCCAAATTTCACACACTTGATTATATTTCAGAAGACTGCTCAGCTGAATTGTGGCCAGCAGTTTCTCAGAAGGGACATGATTTATAGATTTGTTTGCATGTAAGGTACATTTCACATTGCTGAAATGCTAGGAATAAAAAGCCTAAGATGATTATGAACTGTTTGCTAAAATGTTGCAGGGGAAATTATATATTTTGAAAGCAGTCTAGGTTGTTACTCAGTTTGAGCAATCCATACGTGCTGTCAAACTGACTAGAGAAGAATGGATGTAACATTTTTCTAGGGATTCCAAACACCTTTAACCTCCTATATACCTCTCTCACTTTGCTTCATGTATTAATTTTATCTCAATTTTTGGAGTGCTACAGTAATCAGCATGAAATTAAATGGCATAAAAAACCAGAAAATGGTTTTTAATATTATTTTTAATTAGTTTTGCCACAATACAGCTCCACCTTTAAATGCTGTATTGTGGCACAATGGGGTCTAAAATGAAGGACAACATGTGGGACTTTCCAAATGAGGGACGAAGTAGGACATCACATTTTTAATACTTTCCCCACCCTTTCTCTTCCCCAGCCTCAGCCGGAGGAAGCATTGCAGAAAGGCCTGCTTTGTAGTGTAACCCACACACCTCCTGGGTGTGGTGTTCTGTCCTGTCTAGTGGCACTGAGACCAGTTAGAAAGAGAAAGAAAGACAGTGAGTTTGCTCTTCAGCCTTAGCTAATAGCGATTGCCTTTTAGCTCATGAGATAGAGGCTCATGCACTAAGCTCCAGAGGCCCCAGGTTTGATCCTGCCTGCCAATGACTGGGGTCTGTTGGCATTACATTAGCATTGCCAATAGGGAAAAGGAGGAGGTGGGCTATGTGCACTGCAGCCACTACTGCACTGGGACCTGGTGGCAGCAGGGTGGAATAGCAGGTCCTTGGTCCAAAGGCATCTGAGAAATGGGATATCCCACATAGTGTGGGGCATTGGAGAAGTTTGCTAGGCACACAGTAGAAACAGAACCCTGTTTTCACATTGAATTTGTCTTTCTCTTTATTTTTAGCAAGTTTATAAACCCGGGGGGCTTGAAACATACTTTAAAAAAACCTACTTGGGCCAAAATTGTCAAACATGGGTGCTAAAGTTAGACGCTTTTATCCCTACTTAGGCACTGAAATAAAAGATGCCAGATTTTCAGAGGTGCTGAGAACACAGTGCTCCCATTGACTTCAGTACAAATTTTTCACGCTGCGCACTTCTGAAAATGAGGTCACTTCTATTTAGCAGTGTAAATGAGGATCTAGGTACCTAACTTTAGGCATCCAATCTTAGCCTTACATTCTGAAGCACAATTCTGTTGCAAGGGGTAGATGCTGCAGAATCATACAATACACAGGACCTTGATATAAAACATCAAATTTCACTTTTTTCCAGGGACCTTTCTCCAGATAAGCCAAAAGTCCAGAGCTGCCAGGCTCCTAGTGGGCTATATGTGCATCTGGTGAATGAGAAGTTATTGTTTATATGCATGTCTTAAATGTCATAGCCTCAAAGTAGATGCAGCTTTCCAGGTGCTCGGAAAGGTTTCCTCTCTAGTCAGACAAAGAAGGAACAAATCACAATACATCCACTAAATCCCACATTCTCTGGGAAAATGGTACATAGGAATTGCCATATTGGATCAGATCTGTCCATCTAGTTGCTCTGCTGTCTCTGATCATCTGGTGCCAGATGCTTCAGATGAAGGTCATTAATGGAATAACCTACCACTAAGGGACATCTCCCTGCTCTTTAAAAAAAAATCCTATGTAGTGTAACTAGGTATTTTCAATATCCATGTAGTGCAATACACTAATCCTTTTTAAAATCCTGCTAGGGTCTTAGCCTCAAGCAATACTTTGTGGCAGTGCATTTCACAGGTTAACTTGGTATTCTGTTGGTTTTTTAAATTTTTTTTTATCAGTTTCAAATTTGATACCTTTTAATTTCATTGTCCCCTTGTTCTTATGAGCTGAGTAAATAGAAACACCCAATTGTCTTCTCTATGCTATTCATTATTTTGTATACTTCCATACTGTCCTCCTTGATTAACATCGTATAATGTTCACATAGGTGTCTTATAATTCTGTTTTTATTTATTATTTCAACCAATTACCTGGTACTGAAGTAAGGTTCGGTGCTCTGTAGTTCATAGGATCACCCCTGAGCAAACTCAGTGGAACCAACACGCAGTGGATTTGCAAAGGAGAGGGGAGAATCACGGGAATTTGCTCAGTAGAGGGGAGAATCCCCAGGCAGCATTCAGTTGGTGTATGTATGCTGCATCCCTCGCAGTCCCTTCATGTAGGTGATGTTCCTGGTGAAGAAAGCCATGGCCAGGAGTGCCTATATGCTCTGACTATTCTTGGCTGTCAGAGTGGTCCCTTAGAGCCAGATAGAGCCAGGTACGAGTAAGAGCAGCTCGAATTGGCCACCAGAACAGGAGAAGTGTAAAGGTGGTATAAAGTTAACTTTTCCTCTGGCTCTCTGTTCCTGTCACAAGCTTAGCTTGGAATGGAGAAACTGGGCCAGTGTGGAGCTTCTATTCAAAGCAGAGTGGAAACCCTATCTACTGGCATTCTTAATTGATTCAGATAGGCCCCAGCCAAGCCACACAAACCTCTCACCCAATAATTGCCCCTCTCCTAAACAGATCCAGGCTCTCACTTATTTTAGTCTCCTGTGGGGAGCCTTGGTGGCATTCTGCTCCCTTCTGGTGTCTTCACTGGGCAGATTAGCAGGGCCATTCCACCTCTGTCAAGGAACATTATTCCTCTCTATCTCCTCTCCTTGTGTTCTCTCATCTCTCTTTCCTCTCCCTGAAAGTTTCCCTGATTTTCCCAACTCCTATCCCCAAATTTTCCAACTGATTTTTCCCTCCCCAATTTTAGATGAAGATTTCTTCTGGCAAGTGGCTTTCTCCCTTTAACACTGGTTAGCTGGAGAGTGGCTCTCAGGGCCACTCCCCTACCAATATTAAACCATAGGAGAATAGAGGAGGCAACACTCCACTGGCAACAGGAGCTCTATGGAGAGGCTTGCTATTGGAACTGTTTCTGCAACTGCAATGTATTACTCAGTATACATTGCTTCTCTTCCTTGTCTGTAGTTCTGTAGGCAGAATCCCAGCATGGGGGTCATACTCATGCCCAAACAAAGGTCACATTAACATACTTGCAAAAATTAGCACTACTGTATTACCTAAACATTGAGGCGCTCAGCAGTTTTAAAGAGAGAAATTATTTCTTTCTTTTAAAAGAAATGCACTCAAGGCATCCTCAGTGGATGCATTCATCAACCCATTAACCCCCAAAGGTAGGTCAATGCAGGAAGTGTAAACAGCTTGAGAGAGTATCCCTTTAAATAATTTCATCAGCAGCTTGCCTGTTGATAAAGATACCAGCAGAAGACTGGCAGGGAGAGGAGCATACTAAAATCTTACCATCAAATTGCCATGCAGGGATACAGGTTTATCATTTAACGTGTTCTTTCCAGAGCCAGGCAGCTTTCGTCAATAATTAATGAATCAACTGAATTACAGGTTGCTTCCCACATAATGAATAGATTCTTCTGCCAGCTAGCATCAAATAATCCAGGCCTGTTCAGTGTTTGTGCAGTGTGAGTATGAGCAGAGGGTGAAGAGAAGAGGGTGGGGGAGGGGCAAACATTTGTCCAGAATTAATAGAGTGGAAGGTAGACTCTTCTTTATATCTGGGTCTAGATGGCAAGAGAAGCCTCCATTGTGCATTGCAGTTTGGATCTGCAGATCGTCTTGCACTCAGCATTGCAAAGTTAATCTATACTTGATGTCATTCTGAATCTCTGGTCAACAGTTGGGTATTTAATGTAACGGCATTTTCTCCTTCTAATTATGGTCTTGGAGGAAAAAATGCACTGTGTGTTAAGTTAATTATTGTTTATAATACTTTGAGCAAAGTAGGCTATTAACAATTAAAAAAAAGGATGTCTCCTTTATTTTCTACAATTTTAACAGTAGAAGCTGCATTTTATTTGTCATGGGATTTCCAGTAAGATAAAAGAGAATGAGCAAATGGTCTATCTAATTCTGCAGAAAATTGGATTTTAAAATATCACAACAAACTTTGCAAACAGAGAAACTATGCCATGAATTGACTTCAGTTAAAGCTTGAGAAAGAGGAATGTTTAGAGAATTGTACGTGTCACTTCAAACTGACCAGTTTTGTTACTGAAAAGATAAAGTATGCAACTGGCAAAAAGTCAATAATGATTTTATATCCATTTTCAAGGTGTGACGAGGATACAGAGTCTGTACATGAAGACCAAGCAGCAAACTCCATCCACAGGTATTTACTCTATATCTTATTCGAAAACCCTTGGCAAGGGATCTGACTGTTCTTTCATCCCTATCTATCAGGGATCATCTGTTAATGGTATCCAAAAACTCAAGGAACATCATCACTGAAAATTAAAATTCTTCTAAATTACAGAATAGTTTAGTTTAAGTATTATGGAGATGAAAATCACCCAGGATATATTTGTGTATTTCTGCTTTTGGACACAGCTTAGCATTCCAGACAATTTAAAATTTAGACAATTTAAAACCAACTGTATTTCAATATATTTCTAGAACTGCCTATGCAAGAGAAAGCAACCCACCCAGTAACAATAATAGCTACCCTGGACCAAACTTTCTATCCACAACCCATTTCCTTGGGGGAAAAGTTTTGGTGCCTACGAGGTTAACACATCTGGGCCCTGGTGAGCCAAACAGGGAAAAGCCAGTTCTGTAGGTGGGGTCCCAATACAGAGAATTCTGTGTCAACAGGCTGTTCTCTATTAAACTCCTGAGGTGGTCCAACTCAAGCTTCTCTGATAATCTCAACTGTGGGAGTTCAGACAGGGAGCGAGGTGATCTCTCAGGTAGTCAGGTCACAAATCTTAGGGCTTTATTGGTTAAAACCAACATCCTGGCTTCCATGTGAAAACTGGCAGCCAGTGTAGAGTACAGAGCATGGCCGGTAACCTATTCTCTCATGATGCACTGCTTAATAAGTGGGCAGCCCCACTCTCTCACTAGCTTAAATTTCTGAATAGTTTTGATGTGTAGTTCTATACAAAGTGTATTACAGGAGTCTAACTTCGAAGTAACAAAGGCATGGATAACTGCAGCAAGGTCTGCATCTGGGAGGAAAGGTTGTACTCTGCTTGCCAGACAAAGATGAGACTTCTGTCCTAGCCACAACTTTTACCTGAGCTCTCAAGAGTGTCCCAGGGTCTAATTAAACCACCTAGACTGTGATTTGCTGTTATGCATGGTGACCCTTTCCTGCAATCAGGATTCTGATATAATTTTCACCAACTCGTCCAGCTGCCTCCCACAAACTACCAACCTTATCTCATTTTTTTTCTGGACTAAGATGCCGGGGGGAAGGAGTGTGAGTAGTGGATGCCTTCCTCTAGGGAGTGACAGTGACTGCCTGGGAGGGAGTGGAGGGAAGGGCAATGGTATGGCTGGAATCTAGGCTAGAAAAGATGAAGCGGGAACATGTCTGGACATGAGGTAGGAAAAAGAAGGCAGGCATGCTTTTGCTCCTCTCAGCTCAAAACCTGTCCTACTCTGGCTGTCCAAATCCTACTTCATATGCCCTTCTCTCTCCCTTATTCCACCAGACATGGAGGGGATATAGTAGCCCATAGGAAAGGTGAAAAACTGAGTGGAAAGAGCAAGGAGATATGAAAGGATGGGGAAGGGAGTTTGCTGAATGGGGACACGGATGTAGGAAGCAACTGTTTGTGTGAGGGGAAAGACACAATATTAATAGGACTACAGCCCAGCTAAACCAATGACTTCTGAAGCCTGTGGCATTGGGTGATGATATGGGAAAAGATGCTTTTGACTTTTAGTATGGGAAGGCAAAAAAGTAGCAACTCTAAGGCCATATCTATGATGCAAACATTGGTCAATGCAAGTTACATTGGCATAAAGCTGCCACAGTTAGTATATCACTCATGCGTGTGCACTTGACTCCTTGTGTTGGCACTGCATGTACTCATCAGGAGTGCTTGGGTCGATGTGTGGTGCACATTGGATAGGTATCTTAGTATGCAACTCCCCGCCATCTGGAGTACTGTCTCTTGGGAACTTTGGCACTGCATAGTAGGGCAGAAGTGAGTTGCATAGGGGTGACTGGGAGCAAGGGGTCAAGTTCACATCAAGCAGCTTTCTCCATCCTATAATGCCACCCCTACCCCATAATTTTCATGCCTTTTTAAAAATCCCACAAAACCCTGCAGCACTTCTGTCTGTCTGCCATCTCTGACAGAAGCATGGAGCCTGAGCTCCTAAGGCTACGTCTTCACTACCCGCCGATCCGGCGGGTAGCAATCGGTTTATCGGGAATCGACTTACCGCGTCTCGTGAGGACGCGGTAAAATCGATCCCTGATCACTCTGCCGTCGACTCCGGAAATCCACCTCGACAAGAGGCGGTAGCGGAGTCGGCGGCAGCGCGGCAGCGGTCGGCTTTCCCCCGTCCTCACCACCAGGTAAGCCGACCTAAAATACGCAACTTCAGCTACGGTATTCACGTAGCTGAAGTTGCGTATCTTAGGTCGGAACACCGCCGTAGTGTAGACCTAGCCTAAGAGTGTCTCAGGGTCTAATTAAACCTCTCTTCACTATTGCACTATTGTCATGAGAACTGCAAACACAGGACGAACGATCTCTGGTATTTGCAGAACCATAGGAAGAACCTCAGCAGTGCGGGGGACATGACAATTTTGTGGAAGACAGATTGCTGTGGGACGTAGCAAGAACCAATTCAAGGTTGTTGGTGGCACTTACGGGGAAGCTGCAGACAGTAGAGTGCTGCTTCTGGGCCTGAGAAACAATCTCTGACTCAGGGATCGGCAACCTTTGGCATGTGGCCCACCATGGTACGCACCCTGGCCGGCCGGGCCGGTTTGTTTACCTGCCACGTTCGCAGGTTCGGCTCCCACTGGCTGCGGTTCACCGCTCCAGGCCAATGGGGGCAGCAGGAAGCAGCGGCCAGCACATCCCTCAGCCTGCGCCACTTTCCGCAGTCCCCATTGGCCTGGAACGGCGAACTGCAGCCAATGGGAGCCACGATCAGCCGAACCTCCGGATGCAGCAGGTAAACAAACCGGCCCGGCCCGCCAGCGTGCGTACCATGGCGGGCCACGTGCCAAAGGTTACTGATCCCTGCTCTGACTGGTGAGAATGCATTGTAATGCAGGTTCAGGATGATGAGCAGTAGCTGCAGAACATTTGGATGTGAAAGGCCACGTTCCTGGATCTGCATGCCAAGCTCTTCCCAGCTGTAATGCAGGGACACCAGACTAAGAGATGCACTGACAGTTGACAAGCGAGTGGCGATCACACTGTGGAAACTTGCAACTCCCAATTTCAGCTGGTCAGCAGGAAACCGTTTTGGAGTTGTCATGCGAGTATGTGGGGCCATTAATTGTGTCCTGCTACACAAGACTGTGACTCTCAGGAATGTACGCGACATAGTGGGGTTCCCGAACTGTGGTGGAGCAATAGGTATCACGTTTATCGCTATTTTGGCAACAGACTACCTTGCCCCAGAGTACTTCAACAGAAAGGGCTACTTTTCTATCGTTATGTAACCCTGGTGGATCACCAGGGATGCTTCACTGACATCAGTGTGGACTGGTCAGGGAAGGTTCATGACACTCACATCTTTGAGAACACCGGACTGTTCAGAAAGCTGCAAGTAGGGACGTTTTTTCATGACCAGCAGATTACCATTGGTGGTGATAAAATGCCAATAGTGATCCTTGGAGGACCCAGTCTATCCCTTGCTTCCCTGGCTCATGAAGTCATACACTGGACACCTCAACAACACCAAGGAAAGATTCAGCTACCAGCTCAGCAGGTGCAGAATGGCAGTTGAATGTCTATGGGTGATTGAAGGGATGCTGGTGATGTTTACTCACGAGATTGGATCTCTGCAAGAGGGGGGAAAAAACAGTGGTTATAGCTACCTGTTGTGTCCTGCATAATATCTATGAAACAAAGGAGGAAAAATTGCCGCCACGGTGGAGATGGAGCGTGTTTCTCCTGAGTTTGCACAGCCAGCCACAAGGGCTATTAGAAGAACTCAATGCGGAGCTCTACAGTCGAGGGAGGCCTTGACAGAGCACTTTAACGGTCAGTCACATCAATGCATTGTGTGGACTGTGCCCTACCTGTCCTGAAGTTTGGGGGGCTTTTAGGAATTGTGTGGTCCTTGGTGTACATTTATTAATATAACACTGTCTGGCAATGTGCCTATTAATTATATGGTGCTTGCTGTGAATTTATAATTATTACACTGTGTTTGTCACTGATCCTATGAGTTTTGTTGACCTCTACAATAACAGGTCGTGGGAGCTTTCAGTAGTGCTGTGCATTCTCCAGCATATGTTATGAAGTAATAAAGATCAATTATTTACCAAAAATAGATTTTTATTACATAACAAAACCAGTGCAAAAAAGGTGCAATTAAAAAAGGCATTCAATAAAAACTTCTAAAATAAATTAATGGAACAGAACTTAATAAGGGGACAGAACATTCATGTACATTTTGGCTACCCATACAGCAACTGTGACTCTCACAAGTCAGTGTATGTGAAGCTGTGTTTTTTCTACTGTCCCTTGATATGCTCCCTGTCCTTTTTCTGCTGGGACTCCTGGACCTTTCTTCTATCTGCTTTCTTTCTTTCTCCAGGCCGTCTGCAATGTTCACCCTCCAAGTACTCTGTTCATGGTCCAATGCAGCACTGGTTTGCAGGATCTTGATGAACATATCCTCCTGTGTCCTCTTCTTTCTCCTCCTTATCATGGTCAGGCACTCTGCGGGTATGGAGGAATGCACTGGTAGCATCTACGGATAAAACATACAGAGGTGTCATTGTATGTATAGTGACAGCAGAAAGCGCAAGTTAAGTTTCAGAACTTCCTTCCCTTTTGTCCCCTAACATTTTAAACAAGACATGCTTATTGCTACTTCCGCCTTGGAGCACCTGTGCACAACATGCCTATCCAGCCCCAGCCACACTGAGTATGGCCAAGGACAGGTGTAGGGAAGGGGGGGTATGAGGAGGGAATTGTTTGGTGGCATGAAACAGTAAAAATTTGGCCCCTATTTCCATGTGTATGAGTGCAAGTTAATAGCACTGAGCACCAGCGCTGTTTTTCCCAGGCGATGGTGATTTTAGCTGATATCTCATGCCCAAGGGTAATGAAGAGAGCACAGCAGTTACTTGTGTCCCTAAGCCACCTGGACCCATACTCTGCTAGCCTGTTTACTGCAGTGGTGCCTGCCAAAGACATCAGAGACCGGTGTGGGAATGTGTCCCATCACAGAGCAATAAGGCTGCCAATACTAGAAACCTTCAGAAGAAGATTGCAGAGTACCTCCAAGAAAGTTGCAACAAGATCTCTCAGGAGAATTTAAGGCACATACCTGTGTCTATAAACCAAGTACTGCTCATGGGCAGCCCAGCTAACTCTCTACAGGGAATGAAAAGAAGATAACAGCTCCACCTCTCTTAGTTATACTGCTACCTCTTCTAGTATAAGTCAATACCTGTGCCCTGCTATGCTGGGGTCAGGCACCATCTTGGCATTTCAACATTACAATGGGAAATGCCTTCACACTTACCTGGGGTTCCTTCCCCTGAATGGGGCTCACCCGCAGGGAGTTACTGGACTACGTGGAGTCTCGGGCAGATTCTGGCTCACAGCATAGCTGGACCCCGCAGTTGTATGTACCCCATCTTCCTCTTCTTTGCTGTTCACAACAAGGGGTCTGTGTCTTTGGCTCGTTGGAGAGATCCATGTCGCTCTGTGGGGTGCAGCTCGTTGTAAAAACAGCAGGCCTGTGGCTTGGCACCGAATTGACTGTTGAGCTCCCTGGCCTTCTGGCATGCCTGTTGCAGTTCCTTTGCTTTTATGCAGCATTGCTGCTGATCCCTGATCTGCCCATTCACTGCCTGTAGAAGTCCATGTTTCTACAACTACGCCATAGCTGCGCTTGAACAGCCTCTTCTCCCCACAGGCCCAGATGTGCATCTAAAGCGTAGCATCAGCATGGTTGGTTGGGCAGTTGCACACAAGAAGGGAGAGCTGCTAGGTGTGTGTGTCAAATTGGGCAATCAGGAAAAGGCATTTCAAAAATATGCAGGGTTTATAAAGGGAGGGGGGATGGCTTCTGCTCTCCAGGACCACGGGGCTATAGCAGTCAGTGTCCGGTATTGTGGGACAGCTTCTGGACGACTCTTAGGATTGACATAAGTCACGTGGTGTCTGCACTCACACTGTGTCGACCACAGTAGATTGACCATGGCTCAAAGCCATTTGGAGAGCTGGTGTTACTGTGTCGCCTTAACAGGATGCTTACGTCAGTGAGAGACAAATTTGAATATAGACGTATGCACAACTAGGTCAATGAAAGGCAACTTATGTCGACCTACCTTTGTAGTGTAGCTCAGGCCTCACAGTTTACAGGCCCCTAAATTACATTTGCTTAAATTACTCTATATACAAATGTGTACTCATGCATTTAGCACAGGGGTAGGCAACCTATGGCACGCGTGCCAAAGGCAGCACGTGAGCTGATTTTCAGTAGCACTCACACTGGCCACCGGTCTGGGGGGCTCTGCATTTTAATTTAATTTTAAATGAAGCTTCTTAAACATTTTAAAAAACTTATTTACTTTGCATACAACAATAGTTTAGTTATATATTAAAGACTTCTAGAAAGAGACCTTCTAAAAACATTAAAATGTATTACTGGCACACGAAACCTTAAATTACAGTGAATACATGAAGACTCGGCACACCACTTCTGAAAGGTTGCCGACCCCTGATTTAGCATATGGTCTGATAATAAACTGCAGATTATAACGGAGACTTGTTTTATTAACATACACAATGTTTAGCTCATATGTGTCCTTACCCTAGCAATGCTAACATATCAAATAAAACTGAGACCTTGGCACCAGTCCTCCTCAGTATTGTTCTGAGAGATGGCTAAAATCCTGCTTACACCTTTTGGTTTTATTTTCTTCTAGAGATGAAAACAACAAAGAAAACTATCCCAACAACACTACAGTCTTAGAGGACAGCCAGCCAGCATTACGAGATACCCAGCAGCACGTGGAACAGACAGCTCATGACTGCACACTACGGGTTGGAATGGGCAACTTAAAATTAAGAAAGCCCAAATCCATTGCAAAACTAGAAAATGGGAAAAACCATGAAGAAAGTCAGGTAATAAAATAAAACGTATCTGTTTCTGCTAGATATTTATCGTGCGGTGTCATAGCAGGAATATGTTTTAAATGCAAAGTGATGCAAATGATAGCATTATTAATCCCTGCTCTGACTCACTTCCACAATGATTTGGGCTATGTATCTGGTACAAGTGAAACTGCAGTTGAAGTAATTCTTTCAGTAAGGGAATCATGCAGAATCAGTGAGAATTCCCTGATATAGTGATAGATTCTGAATCCACAACTGCTCACTGCTGAGAGTAAGGGTGTCATAGTATGGCCCATAGTGAGGATGTGCAAATTATTTCTCCTTCTGAGTTATCTTCTTGTATTTCCTGGACGTGCTGGAATAACGGCAAGATCTTTCTCTTGTGTGGCTTGTGCTAGAGATTTAAACTGGTGTCTATGTCAAACCACTAAATACTGTAATGTTTTATTAATTCTTAGTTATTAGGAGATATTTGGTAAGATGGCTGGAGGATGTTACATCTCATCCCTTTATCCCGTTCAGTGGGTATGAAAAATTAGTGAAAATAATATACTTAGGGTATGTCTACACTGCAGCTGGGAGTGACTCTCCCAGAGAGGGTAGACAGACACTCACTAGCGGCACAAGGGGAAGTATATCAGGAAAAGCAGCTGATCAGGAGGGCATAAAGTAAGGGGGAGAGATGATTGATCTCTTACCCTCTTGTTAATTATTTTTCTTGCTGCCCTGAATCTGTGCCCCCTTTCAGTTCTCATGTATGTCACACCTGTATCTCAAACTCACTAAAAGCTAAAGTTGGCCAAATCACCCATTGTCAACTCATTTGTCCCATTTTTATCTCACCAGTGAGTTTGGCTCAAAGAATTTAACTGAGAATGTTGGTTTAGTTTTATGTAGTATTTTGTGATCATGTAATTAGATCTCCATAAAATATTGATGCAACAGAAAAGTGCAGCATCTGGAGGGGGAAAACCTCCAATAAGCCATGAAGTTTTCCTGTGATACAGCGTTTGGATTGGGAAACAAAAAAGTCATGATGAGTTCCACTCCCACCCACTCTTCCCCAGGCCCTGTTTCCAATCAGTGAGAAGCGTGGTACCATTCTGCCCCCACCTCTGACCTGAGCACTGATACAGTATCTCATAGATAACAGAATTAGCACTATGAATATGATTGCTTCCCATATAAAATAAATGTTACTTCATCACAGGAAATTAAAGTACCCTCATCATTGATTGGGCTATAGTTTGGGTCCCAATCCAGCAGTGAGCTCTCCAGGGACAGACCTCTTTGACTCATTGATTTCAGTGGAGTCTGCCCACATGAAGCAGCTCGCTGGATTGAGGCTTTCTGGGGAAAATGTTTCCCAAGGCACACATTTTACAAACTCCTAGTTCACTCTCATGTAAGAGAATATGCATTCACCTAAGCCCCATCTGCAGGCCCAGTGTGGCTGCATGGACCTCTAGGTTTGTTTTGTTGTTTTCTTGAACCAAGTGTACATCTGGCACCCAGGCTGTTGTTTAAAGTGCTTATGAAAAGTAAGGGCTCTGCTTATAGAAAAGTTCAGAGGCAGTTTTTCGAGTCAAGAGCTCCAATATACTATAACCTTCAAATTCTAAAGCGCTTTGTCTGTTTTAGTAACTGATTTTATCTAATGTGCTTCTTTCCATTCTGACTCTCTGCTTTACTTGAAATTGAAAACAAAGTGTTGTTATTTTTCTAGGAGCTGCTGATTACATGGCAAGTTGCCATTATCTTGAAAAAGGGAAAGAGACTGATGATTTGAAACAGCATGCTACTGTGCACACCTGGGCTCCTTCTAAACATATTGCCGCCACCAAGCCTCTCAACAAGCTCACAACTGTACACATAAGGCAGCCAATATGCATCTCACTGGCTCTGCTGCCTAATTATGTTCAATTGAAAATGAAAACGAGAATGCCCTCCAAATAGTGATTAAGCCATTCTAGTTCAAGTGATTCCCTATTTTTATTGACACAGAATATTCCTTTAATGACATTCCTCTCCCCAATTTCACTCCTACAATGAGTGAAGAAGCATTTATTCAAATCATGACAATATCTAATTACAGATTTTGCTTTGACATACCAGAGATTTAATTATTCACATCTCTGTTTTAGTAGCTACTAAGCTCTTAGCAGTTACAACATCTTGAGCTGCTCCTGACAGAATTTAGCTCTTTAATAACAGAACAAGTATCGAGCTATTGAGAGTTAGGGACAGAATTGGTGCACTTATTCGATACACAGCAATCTGTGTGTATAGGGCCAGATTCTATAAGTTTCCACCAGTGGAAACCCAGATGCATGGCTATGGTAGTGGAAAGGCTGTGGAGAGGGAGTGGTATTGCTGTATCCATAAAAGAATAGGGCAGAAATTACAGGTGAACTGGTGCTGGGATAGGTTGCAATGGCAGAGGTAAATCCTAGAAAAGTAACAGGATGTCAGACTAAAGAGTGAAATAAAAATAGCACATGGCCAAAAATAAATCTATAAATGTAAATATGCCAATACAAGAAGCTTACAAGGATGGGAGTAGGGGGGAAAGCAAACTAGAATACCTGGCAATGAAGCTTGATACGTGATCACATTTTCAAAAGACCTCAGCACTCAGTTCCTGTTCTTGCCAGTGGGAGCTGTTTAGTGTTGCACGCTACTGAAAATCTGGCCACTCAATAAGATGTCCAAAAGTGAGCCTGAGTTCTTTTGAACATAGAGCCCATAATGGGCGTTGCTGAAACTTGAACAAATTTCAGAGATCAATGGGATACTGGGATATGTGGCTATGAACTGAACAGGAAGGACAGATGTAGGTCAGAAGTGGGAGAGAAGCATGAAACCTAAAAGATTTCATAGAACTAGGTCTGGTCAATTTTGATGGAATGTTTTCCAGGAAAAAAATGGAAACAAAGCATTTCAGAGTGGAATCCTCTGATTTTTTATTTTGAAAGGACTCTTTGTTTTTAAAATTATTTTATATTGGTTTGTAGTTTGTGTATATTAACTTTTATTTTATTTTACATTTTAATTTTAAAACAATTATTAAGCCCTTGTTTTAAAATAATATAAAATAAGATAATACAGTAAAACAACATACAAATAAAACAAAATAAAATAAAAATGTAAAAAAGCCAAAAACATTTTTATTAACCCAAAACAAATTTTTTCAGAAATTTCATTTTGTGACAATTATCAAAATTTTGATTTTTCATTCTGATAATTTTGAAATGCCAGAATTTCCTGTAGATAGAAATTTTGACCAGCGCTATGTAGAATCTAATGTGATAACATGTCTGAGTGAAGAGGACCATGTAGTAGAATCTGTACAGACACAAATCCCACGTGATAAAGACACAAATATACTAGTAGGGAGTATTGTAGCCTGCTATAAATGTGATTTAGAGACAACTTTGCACTTAACTCAGGAACTGGACCATAGAATTTAATAGAGAATAATAGCCTTTCCATGGATGTTTTGAGCTGTACTGTAGAATTTAATAGCTGGTATAAAATTCTTGATAAATCCTATTTGACAGTTCACAACACTTTTATAGAAATTATCATCTTCTGTTTAAAATCTATAGATGTTTTTCTGTAAGGGTATGAAGACCCTGGCATAAACCTCACCTAACAGAAAGCCTAAGGGGCGGGCAGAGTGACATCACAACCTATCCTCCCTTAATGCGAATCCATTCTAGGGAATATGGGAAGGGGCATCAAGCACAGGGAGGTGAATTTATATCTCCAAGCAGTTTGAGTGCACCAGGGAGAAGGCTCAGGGAAGACTTGATCAGACTCTATAAGAATCTACACAGGGAGCAGAAATTTGACAATACAGGGCTCTTCAATCTCTCAGACAAAGGTATAACAAGAACCAAAGGCTGGGAGTTGAACCTAGACCAATTCAGACTGGAAATAAAGTGCATTAATGGAGAGGGTAATTAACCATTGGAGAAACCTACCCAGGATTGTGGTGGATTCTTTATAACTAGAAATTTTTAAATCAAGATTGAACATTTTTCTAAAAGATATGCTCTAGCTCAAGCGCAGCTATTGGATTTGAAGCAGGAATTAATACAGGGAAGTCCTGTGCAGGGCTGGCTCCAGGCACCAGCCTGGCAAGCAGGTGCTTGGAGCGGCCACTCCAGAGGGGGGCGGCACGTCCAGCTATTCGGCGGCAATTCGGCGGACGGTCCCTCACTCCCGCTTGGAGCGAAGGACCTCCCGCCGAATTGTCGCCGCAGATCGCAATCGCGGCTTTTTTTTTGGCTGCTTGGGGCGGCCAAAACCCTGGAGCCGGCCCTGGTCCTGTGGCCAGAGTTCAGCAGGAGGTCAGAGTAGATCATCACAATGGTCCTTTCTGGCCTTAAAATCTGTGGATCTATAAATGGTTACTATGGTCCATATCTGTTTTGTTTCTCTGAACCACTCTAGTGATTCTGTAGTATTAATCTATTATAAAATCAAATGTTATGGGCCATTGAAATACCAAAATCAAGTATGTACAGTATATATTCTGGAGAGACAATATAAGAAGTGAGGTTTTGGAATTCAAAGTCTGCTTTTCTTGATTAATCCCCTTCCTCTGTAGCTCATCTTTGATGCACATTAACATGAATTTGGATTATGAAATGATTCACCCTTAAATTCTTTACTGATACTGAAATATAAAATAGCACTGAGCTCACCAGCTAATAAGTAGAGCAAATAACAGTCCTATTTCTCAGTCTAATCACCAGGGTGAAGGACTAAGAAAAGTAAATGGTATCTTGACACAAATCACAAGAGACAGAAATGCAGAAAACTGCTGCATGAAATTCGGTACTTTGGTATAAATTAAATACATTAATGCCAAAGCAACCCTATTAATTCAACATTAAAGTTGTGGTTTTAAACACACGAGAGTCAGAGAACTGAGTAATGGAGCTATATCAATATACACGAGCTCTGGGTGGCTTAGGCATGAAATTCTCACCAAGGTTTTAACTCTGCATCCATGCATAGATATATTTTAATAGCATCTTTCATGACTTGATCATAGCCACTGATCAGTGAGGTAAAAAGAAAACTGGGTTCTCTGAGAAGGAGAAAGCACGTGGTTTCCATGTCTGGTCAACCTTTTCTAAGGGCAGGGCACCCTGCCTGTGGACTTCCAGGACTTGCGCAAAGTAAAAATGTTGCTGGACGGAGCCCAGGGTGAGCCTTGCATTGTCATGCACCCCCAAAGTTTTCATTGTTTGATTTCCATATAAACCACTTGCAGCTTTTTATAACTTTTTAAAGGAAATACTATAATGATACCTATTTGTACACTACCTATTTCTTACCCTGTTTGGAGTGGTTTGCATCCAAGTCAAGTTCAGAACATTACATGCTTTCATAAAAGACCTTAGTTGACATATTTTTATAGCACAATGACATTGTATACGATTAGTTGATTCAACTGCTTTTTTGGGTGGGGTGGGTTTCAAACTGCCTGTTCTCCCCTTGGGGTGTCTGGACCCTGACTGTCACTTAGCCATGACACCTTGTGCTTTGATACTATCAGATTTCATAAGTCAAAGAAAGTGGGTCCAGTTCAAGATTTGGATGGGAGATCTGTGTTAAATTGTACAGATGGTTCAGCAGAAGACATTCTTCCCTCCAGGTCTGTACAAAACAGCCTCAGCATAATAGCAGGAGGGGACACGGCACTATCAGAGATGCTCTCTTTCAGGTGAAATGTAAAACCGAGGTCCTGAACACACGTGGTTTATGAGTAGCCAATTGCATCTTTCTAAGAATAATGTCTGTCATTTTAGGATTATGGTGTAACCCTAACAGAAACAAACTTTTGAATTTTAGGCAATTTTGTAACAAAACTGTGCTTTTGTGGTGCAACAAAATCCAACCTTTGTGTGTCAAGGGGATCCAATAGTATTATATATCATTGTAATATATTTGTTTCTTCTTATCTTTGGGTTAAGATTTATGAATGTGTTGCATGTGGTAAATGGCAGGTGAAAAAGAGAAACCTCTGGTCACTGCCGAGAAGACACAGTGCTGTGTAATCACTACTGTGGTATTTGCTGTATCCTTGACACAATATTCAGGCAGCCAGAAAATATCATTCTTCTTAAAAAACCTGAAGATAAATCAGTTTGGGATATTCTTTTTTCCTTCCATGAGCTAAAACTTCTGGAAGAGAGACACAAAACATCCTGACATGCTGGGTCCCTGTTCTGCCAGTGCCTTTCAATTACTGGGCAAAAATGAAATAAATTCTGAAAAATAAATGTGTACATGTTTAAGTGAATTAAGTTGGGTTTCTGTTGCCTTTCAATTCTGTGTCACTTACTCAGGCTTCGTTGCCCCAGTCACAACAAACTGAAACTAATGATGGTGGTACCAGGCAGGGCCAGCTCTAGGATTTTTGCCGCCCCAAGCAGAAACAATTTTGGCTGCCCCCCCCCCCGTTTTTTTCTTACCCCACCCCCGGCCCTGCCTCAGCTCCGCCCCTTCCCCAAATCCCCAGCCCTGCCTCCTCCCCCTAGGCTCTCAAGCCTAGGAGGGAGGGTGAGCAGCGGCGCGCGAATCAGCTGTTTCGCGCGCCATGGCCGCTCGGGATCTCCCCCTCCCTCCCAGGTTTGAGAGCCCGGGAGGGAGGGCGAGCAGCAGCGCACGAGCGGCAGCAGCAGAGGTGAGCTAGGGCGGCCGGGGCACATTTTTAGGGGCGGCATTCTGGCGCCGGCCATGCCGTCCCTAAAAATGTGCTGCCCCAAGCACCAGGTTGTTTTGCTGGTGCCTAGAGCCGGCCCTGGTACCAGGAAGTCCAAGAGAGATTGCATGGCTGAGAGTTGCTTATGAGAGGAAGGGAAGACTTTTACAGTTACACAAGGGGACAGATTTTGCTGTTCTTTACAAAGGATCTTCCCTGTGTGCTGAACTCTTATGGTCCTTATCAGCCTTGGAAGTTTGAACTAGCTAATCTAGTGGTGGAGGATAGACAGTGGAGCACAGAGGGTTTTGTGACTTGACTGGAATTTAGGAGATGTCTGTTTAAGTGCAAATTCTGCTACAGACTTACTGCATGTCCTTGGGCAAGTCACTAACTCTCACCAGGCCTCAGTTCCCCATACATAAAATGGTGATAATAATACTTCCTTTCTTCAATACTTTCTCATGTAGATGGTAATCTCTTTGGGGCAGGGACTATTTCTCACTACATGTATGTACAGCATCTAGCATAGTACAGCCCTATTCTCATCTGGGGCCTCTCACTGCTGTTGTAACACAACTAATAGTAAAATGCCTATTCTGCCCAAGGACTATCAAACATCCGAAGGTTTGGGGGTAAATAGAGTCAGCTGACCTGGTTCAACCTGATTTTACCTTGAGCTTTAATTAAAACAGTTGTGTTGAACTATTCTGTCTCCAAAAGTATATCATCATTTTATATAACCCAGGGAAAATCTTGTTTAGATAATAATGGAAAAACTGGAACAGCTGCAAAAAGTGCCAGTCACTGTAATGTGGATCTCTGTTACCATTTTTGGATAAAATATTATCCATTCAATGCTAAACTAAATTAAATAAATACAGGGGGATCTATGTCATAAAGCTCTGAAGGACATTTTTAAAAAAAGGAAAATAACAAACAAAGTTTCTTAGTAATACCATGAAAGTCAAGTAGCATATTATCTTGCCCAGAACAAATGGTAGTTGGCATGCACCAAAGCCATCTTATACGTGAATCAAAAATATTGTTATAGTGTCCTAGGCTGCTGCAGTAAACATAGTGGCAGTAGATCTTGCAGATTCTCAATGATTGCTTCTTGGACTTGAGGTTCTATCCTGAAGCAGAAACCACAAGTATAATCTCTTCTTATTAGCAACTTGAGGCCTGATTCCTGTCCCACTTACTCCACTCTGAATCAGGAATAACTCTATTGAACTCATCCCTCAGCATAAAAAACTTGAAAGGGACATCCACTCAGAGTATCTCCTGAGCAGAGACATTTTTGAAAGTGCCTTAAATTCTGTAGTTTTTGAATAGGCAGCGGTGTGAACAGAAATGTGTTCATGTAAAGACAGGTTCCCAATATAATGTACATTTAAACAAACCTCATGGATAGTGTGTCAGACACAGGACAGACAGAGAAGCAAATGAAAATAGGCATTTTTGCTGTTGAAGAAGTAGGGGTCTCTGATGAGGTGTATGAACCCTAAGTGGCAACCACCAAAAATAGGTTGATGACAGTGCTACATTTGTAATGAAAGATGTGCCAGGACCAAGCAATTTTTTTTTTACTTTCATAACTGATGAGGCAAGACCAGAGGTGCCAAGACTCCTGGCTCAGCCTTGGTACAAATTAAGCACTGGTTGATGGACCTCCACTCCTGTGACTAATTGCCTGAGTAGTAACAGCTGGAGTGAAAGTCTTCCAACCAGGCAGAAGGAATCAGCTGACAGAGAGGCTGAGAAGTACCCTGAGGAAACTTCTCAGCAAGGGCTGGCAATGAACCACCTAAGGTACAGACCCAGCAACCCCCACGGAGGGTGAGGTGAGATTGCTGGGAACAGCAGCTAAGTGGATTTCTTCCCCTTCACCCTACAAGGTAGGGGAAAGGGTTGGACTATGTAGTCAGGCCCTTAGTTTAGGACAGGGAGCTAAAGAATAGCCAACACTGGCCTGAAAACTAGGAGAACAAGGTCTTAAAGGGCCAGAGTACCCTTCTGTTACCCCTGGATAGAGAGGAGGGGGCTTCATTCTGCAAACTTTTCCATGTGTAGTCTCACTGAAGTCATTCGGTGGATTTCTAGGGTTGGGCTCTAAAACAGCAGCAAAATAAAATACTTTAGCAGTGGAAACAAACATGTTGCTGTGCTAAGGACATTGATTTTCAGATTTCTAAATTGCTAGCATAATAATGGTTAATAAAAAATAATAATGGAGAAGAAAAAATTTACTTGCCCTTTCAAATTTTCAGAACACTGTATCAACTTAACTAATCTTTATAACACCCCTGTGTGATAGGAAGGTATTTTTACCCCATTTTACAGATAACAAAACTGAGGCAGAGACTGGTTGAGTGACTAATTCAAGTCAACAAAGCTAGTTATTGAGAGCCTGATCTTAAAACTCAAGCCTTCCTAATTCCCAGTCCTGGATTTCATTCAAGAAACCAAACTGGCTTTCCCCCCACCCACTGGCAAGGTGACTGAATCAAAAGATTCCGTCCCACTCACCTTCCCTCACTCTAAAGTAAGATTTTACTAGTAAATTAATAACAATATTAACATGCCTGAAAAAATCAGTTGCAAATTTGGAAGCTGATCCTACAAACCCTTACTCATATGAACCAATATTACTTTTGTGAGTCTGGGTTTTCAAGATGGGACCCATACTAGAAATCTTTCTTGTTATTTGATTGAATGATCTTGAATCAAATATAAATATTTATAGATTAACATATTGAGCAGTAAGTATAGGACACATATTGATGTCTGCTGTCTAAATAATGAATGAATAGAAACGAAAGATGGGTAACACATTTGTCCCATTGGTGTCTTTTTGTACAGAATCTGCTTTCAAAAAACATTGTACAATAAAGAATGACAGTGCTTTGGGACCTTTTATAGTTATTGCTATCCATTTGTTATTACCATCTTTATGCATCAGGGGAATAACTCTTTAAAAAATCAGTATAGAACATTCCACCCCCCCCCCCCCCCCCTCCCCAAGCTTTCATTTTCCTACGGTTTTTTTTTTTTCTTTTTACGCAAAATGTTCACATCAGCCAGGCCAGTGCTGACAGGGTGCTCTGTTGGTTTCTGCAGGAGATGGAGAATGCATTGCCAGGATTCTCAGAATGTCAGGGGAAAACAGGAATGTCCGCTAATGACTACACCCAGAATGTGGCTTTCAGATGCCAGGAAACAGTCGTGAGACTTCAACCAAGGTAGGCTTTAATTGCAAGAAATGCCAATGTGTGTGTATGCTGCCTGTTGTATAAAATATTCAAGTTCTTGACTTTCATTGGCAGTTGTATTCTTTATTTTGAGTCCTAGAGCTGTTCGCAGATCTTAAAGCAGTTAGAGATAACCTACTTCTTTAACTTTAAATTTCCAAGCAAGATGAACATCTTTTCCCTCATCTTAATTCAGAACTTTCAATTCCCTTGGGCCAGTTTCAGAAACATCCTGACACTTTCCACTCCTCCCTTGCCTCATTGATTCTCAGATCTATATTTCTACTGAGAAGTCAGGGAATGACAAGCGCAGGCATAGTTTTGATACTATGATTCACTTAGGGATAAATCAGGCCCTGAATTCAGTGGAATCAGTCTGGTTCCATCAGGAAGGGGTTCCATGCAGTGCACCCACACCCCCTGTTCACCTCAGAGCTCCATGAGGATTCCCTGGGCCCTACACAAGAGGTGTTTTCAGTGCAGGTGACTACACAGATTCATGACCTAACTCACCCCCATTGAATGGGGCACAGCAGCCTGGGAGCTACTGTAGCCAAAGATCCATAGCAGCTATGAAGCAGCCTAGAGGAAGGATTCCTTTCTGTTTCTGCCTACTTAACCTCCCCAGTGTCCAATGTGTTCGGATAGGTTATGTCACAAGGAGAAGATTTGGCCCTTATTGACAAGATTGAATTTAGTGTTGAAGATTACACTGTGCTGAGCCTGCAGTTCTTGGATCACCACTTTAAACATCAGTCTGAAACACCAGATCTCTTGCTTAGAGGATGGCTCAACAACACTGAGCTGGGTATAATGGTTCTCTTGGGTGAACGTAAGAGGGACTGTCTTGAATATTTTCTTTGTTCCCTGTCTCAAGTGGCGCCCTGCCTTTAGTACTGTTAGTGCCTGAGTCAGGAGACGGTACTGACCCCAGTCACTCTGAAGTCCCTTGTGCAAACTGTTCATAAAAACACTCTGAGCAGTGTCCCTACTGCACATTGCTGGAGAGTATTAGCCAGTCTATGCAAGAGGCCAAGTGGCAAGAGGAGTCAGGAAAAGAATTACTTTTTAGAGGGCCTGTAGGAGCAGCTTTCTGCCGCAAAGTGCTGGATGGGTCAGGGGACAGCTAATGGAAATATATAGTGCTTTTCCCTTCTCAGGCTCTGGTTCAAATTGGGACTAGGTTAGTAGTGACAATTCTACTCTGATGGCAGTTTGGTGCTTTATGTGAAATAAGCCGATTGCCTCCAGTTATGTTTTTTAGTAGGCAACCATCCCAAATGACATTAATTCACACTCTTGGGCGCAGTCTTAACAGAGTGGCCGAGGATTTAATTAGCTTTCAAAGTGAACTGCTTTCAGCCTCTACTGCTGGTACCCCCCGTATAAGTTGATGCACAGTAATGTGGACTATATCTATTGAGGCTTACACTGGTCTAATACCTGAGGGAGGGCACTAATAAATTCTTCAAGGGACAGTGGTGCAAAAATGCTGCAACCTGTCTTATGTCAGGGTGGCCATAGAGGGCTAGCACAGGCTAAAAAGTGAGTGCTGCTGGTGAGTGGGGGTATGTGATCCTGACAGAATCAGGGAGGGTGCTGATGCCAGCAGTACACGTTGGCATAGGCCTGTATCTCAAAGCTATTTAGGTGGCTAACTGCCATTGATTTCAGTGAGTGTTAGACAGCTAAATACATTTGAGGATCCGGGCCACAGTTCCCCTGGCAGGGAGCTGCTGTTTGCCTTGACTGTGCTAGAAGGAGGAAGTAGTAACACCACCTATTCCCCACTGAGGTGAGTTCTTGGGACTTAGCTATCAGTAGAAGGTGTAATTCATAGCTCCCTGCACTATGTTAAGTGAATCTGTCCCCTGGTATCTAACATGTATCAGTTTTGCGAACTCATGTCCAATCTCCCAATTTGAACCAGTGTCTTAAGAGTTGAAAACCACTATGCATTTTCATTAGCTGTGCCCTGACCCATGTCCTTGGTAGCTAAACAATGCTTAGGAAGTTTTTTCTGACACAGAAGCTTAAATGAACATACCACAAGGCAGCAAGGCTAAGAAAATGACTTGTATGGTCATTCCTCTTGTTAAAGTTTACTTAAAATACTGAGCACAATGGCATCCCTCATTTCAGAATTCAGATACTTATAGCACAGCGTTTCTCAAACTGGGGTGAGCGTCCCCAAGGAGACTCCAGGGTGTGGGACCCACTGAGAAACTCTTCCCCCCTCCTTCAACTCCTTCCTTTCCCACCCAGGCGCGTCTCCAGCACGCTCGAGAATAGGCTTACCTGTCCTGGCTCCCCGCTGCTCCCGGAAGTGGCAGGCACGTCCCTGCGGCCTGGGCTGGGGCAGGGGTGCAGGAGGGGATGGGGGTGCGGCACTTACCTCAGGGCACTCCCGAAAGCAACTGGCATATTCCTCTGGCTGTGGCTCCTAGGTGGGGGGGGGGGCAGGGGGTCTCCGCACGCTGCCTCCGCCTCGAGCGCCGACTCTGCAGCTCCCATTGGCCAAGAACTGCCAATTACAGTAGAACCCCTATTTTAATTAATTAACGAATGGTAAGAAATATATACAGTGTGCCTATTACAATCTTGCTAATGGATTGTACTACATCAAACAGTACTGTACTTACATACTGTGCTGTTAGTGTTCCTGTAGTCATTGGTGAAATAAATTACTGAAGGTCAGTACACCCACACTCTCAGTGTGTGGCACCTCTGCTCACTGCTTAAGCACATACACATGTACCTGGTTGATCAAGAGATAAAAATGGTTCATCGAACCAGTCGTTCATGAAATGAGGGTTCTACTGTTTAAGTTCCTGTTTTCAATTGTTTATAACTTTGAAAAACTTGAAGCATCTGGGCTGAAATATTCCATGGTGAATGGTTGTCTCAGGCCAAAAAAAAAAAGGTTGTGGGTTTTTGTTTGTTTATTTTAACTTTGAGCAAAATCAGTTCAGCTATTTCTGAGAATGAGGCTAAAGGAAAATATATTGTATTTGCCAATGTTAAAAAATTCTTACAGCTGTTTTGTCGAGAAGCTCTACAGTATTGCCAGCTCTTGCAGTTTACTGCAAGTCTTGTGATATTAGGTGATTTTTCTTAACGTCTCAGATCCTGGAGTCAAGTGATTATGTCAGGGATTGTCTTTTATTCTGTGTCTGTGCAGAGCCTCGCACAGTTTGGTCAAGGTGCATGACTAGGGCTCCAAGGCACTATGTTAGTACAAATAAATAAAAAGAAAAAGTAGCTGTAGTATTTTTAAATCTCATATTTTTAAAACCAGTCTCATGATTTTTTTGGGACCTGACACATTTTTTTTGGATACTCAGGTTTGGCAATACTAGCTGTAGCATGTCCATGCTTTGGAGCAGGGTTTTGAGATTTGGCAGGTGGGTCACCCTGGAGTCAGAGAGTTGCCTTTTGTTGTCCCTATGAAAATCCATCCAACTTTGCTGAATTATAAATCTCTGAAAACCACTGTTTGTACATGTACAATAAAGATTTGTTAGAGGCAGGTAACAAAATTCTCTGAACATGCTGTTTCCACTGAGCATGCTCCATCCTTTCAGAGCTCACAGAGTATAATCTAGCCAAGGGCCGAGTAGGACTTTTCCCGTAATTGCTCATTCTGGTAGCCAGGTCCACTGTGGTACTGGGCACCAGAACTAGGAGTAGGGATACTCTCTCTCCTGTGCTCTCAGTGCTCCCTATGCTGGCACCCAGGCAGTTTGGAGGAGGAAGCTGCCTGACTGAAATGCAACAGGGTGAGGAGTGGGGTGGGGTTAGGGGGAGAAGGACAAGTATGGGGAAGAAGCAGAAGGGGAATGGGACAGGAGCAGAGAAGGATATGGCCCTGCAGGAGGAAATAGGAGTGTGGCATATGCATTATGATATGGTCTTTGATTGCATGGTCACATACTATTTTTCCCAGGTCAATGGGATTGGGCAAACCTCAACATTTTTAATGGAATTCAGTTCAGCTACCTCTCATAAAGCCCTCCCCTTCAACTCTTTCTACCTGATCCATATTAAACCTCACTCACTCTTTGAAACTACTATTCCCCAACAACCCTCTTAACTGTGTTGATCCTATTGCAAGTTCTCAGAAGGTCTTCAGTCTCTGTTGTGCTTTAGATGGCTTCTCTATTCCAGTTGCATATGCTCTGGGACTTCTTTGGTTAAAGCACCTATGAATGCATTTTTCACAAATGATCAGATAAATTAATCCAGATAGTACAATAAGGCTTTAAGGACTCTCCCTACTGCTAATTGCTTCTTCAGTATCTTGCTCAGTGGAACAACTTCCTCCTCCTTCTTCCTGTTACTTTCAAGGGCTTCTTCTGAGGTCTGTCACTGGCATTCTCCACTTCTTCCTCTAGACGCTGTCCTTTGACATCCATACCTGTTTGTAAACTTTAACCAATATCCTTACATTGACAACTCCTAGATCTGCCTTTCCAGTTGTGACCACTCTCCCTCTTTTATGACTCAGATCACTGTTATCTCCTCTCCAGAGCTTAATTCCTTGCTATGTCTATGCATTTGTTTCCTTTCCTTCTCCTCATCCTCTACTCTTAGCCCAAGCTTCTCATCTCTATATTCCTTTTCTGTCCTTCTCTTACCTGCTTTTGTTCCTTCTTTCATGCAGTTTCCTATGCCTGGTAATCCCCTTTCTTCACCTGTCTATAGGGTTGCCAATTTTCTACTTGCACAAAACGGAACATCTTTGCCCCGCCCCTCCTCCAAGCCCCCCCTCTGAGGCCCCGCCCCTTTCACTTCATCCTCCCTCCCTCTGTTGCTCACTCTCCTCACACTCATTCACTCGCTCATTTTCACCGGGCTGAGACAGGGGGGTTGGGGTGCAGGAGAGGGTGAGGGCACTGGCTGGGGGTGCAGGCTCTGTGGTGGGGCCGGGAATGAGGGGTTTGGGGTGCAGGCGGGGGCTCCAGGCTGGGGGGTGGAGCTGAGGGGTTTGG